ACAGTATTTTCCCACAGAGAAAAAAGTTATCTATTCATGATTCATTTAGTATGAACAGAAATGAAGGGAATCCCAGTACAGTCAAGGATATTTAAACTGATATTTTCCTCCCAGATAAGACCAGCTTTAGATTTTTTCATTACTGACTTGCTTATGCATGTTGTAAGAGAAAAATCCTGGAAGAACTGTAGAGAACTGCAGCTTATCCTAGACTGTATATTTGCAACTTCTTACATCCATACTTTCTGTATAAATATAAGGAGGGATGCACAAACACAGTGGTCCATTCTCAGTTTGGTGCATCATTAGGACTTATGACTACAGCTACAGGTCCAAAAGGAAAGGGTCATTAGTGAACCTAGGTGAATGCTGGTACTCAGAAAAGAAATGTTTTCCTTCTGCAGCAGATAATTGCATGCCTTGCAGACATGGGAGTATAGAAAAGCTGATAAACTTTCGCCATCTTCATGATTTGTGCCATAACAATGACATATCCTCACCCGCAGGACCTTAGGCAGCTTGATCACTTAAGCTCTTTTGGATTTTTTAATTACATAGATTTTTTTTCTGATTCTAAGTCCTTTTTACTTAGGCCTTGGTTTTCCTGCCTTCCCTCTGAGGCAGATAGCACTAAAAATAATAATTCCCCCCCCCCGTCACCTTTGATGTAACCCGTCAGTCTTTCAGGCTCTTCTTTTGCAAAGAACAGATAGAAATACAAGTTTTATGCTGTATGGTTTAAGTTTATAAAGCAAAACAAACAGAACCAAACAAGCAAAAAACACAACATAACAAAACTAACAAAAACCACAACCAAACAAAAACAATGTGATAAAATACATTCTTCAGCACTTAAAGGGAGCCTGGGGTGGAGAGGTTATGTTCTGAGTGAAGACCTACACATTAATCATGTTTCTTTTAAAAGAAGGACTTGCCTTTCCAAATCCAAACCACATAGTCCAAAACAAGGGTATGTAGTGATAGGACAAGGGGGAATAGTTTTAAACTGAAAGAGTTACGTAAGAATAATTACATTGATATCTCTCTTTACACAGTGTGTCTGATACACTGGAGTAATTCTTGACAAATAAAATGCTCTCCTAGAAGACAGTGCCCTACACTTTCTCTTTCACGTATGCAATTTTATTCAGATTAAGCAAAGAAGATTTCAATAGCACACTGATGCTCACACACATTTTGCTTCAAAGGGCTGCAGCAGACATATACACTGACAAGGTTTTTCAGTGTTTCCACTGCAGTGCTCACGGTCACAGTGTAGGTGAGATTTTGTTTGTGTTTTGGCTCTGCATTACCCCAAGCTAACCCTTAGTTAATGCTCAGAATTTACTTTTAGTGATGAGTTTTGTCAGTAAACTGTCCATCCTGTTCACATGCCTTTGTTTGGATTCTTCACTTTCTCTGGCCTTTATTTTAATAATCATGGTAAAGAAGCTCTTGCATAGTGAAAAATTTCATTAAGCCTTCACCGGCAGTGACTGATGTTAGTCACCAATGAACCTGCTTTTCCTTTCCCTGAAATAAACAGTACAGTTTCCTTCAAATACTGATGTTAGAGGAAGAAATCCTGTCAGGAAAAGAAATTGTCATGAATTTGTAGCTACAGGTTGGTTGAATAAGCATATGCCTACATCTGCCTTCCATTTGCGAAGTGAATTTTTGTCTTCATTTATTTCTAAATCATGAGTTGAAGTCTAAAAAAATTATTGGGGCATTTTGTTTTTAAAAGGAGAATCTTTGTGTGTTCTTGGTTTTCATCTTGAAGACTTAAGCGTGTTCTCTGTTGTCTTTCTGCAACTGTAAGGGACAGAAACATCTTTTAAATGAAAGTTAAAACTCTGAAGCTTTGCGAAGAGCAAGAAATACTATCAGATTTTGTGATACCATAGTAAGAGTTGCCAATAGTAGCAGTAGAAAAGTAAGTAAAGGCTGGTCATGCTGGACAGTGGCTCATATCCTTTTGAGAATGGCAGACACCTGAAGCTGGAAGGGCCACACTATGTTACAGACTTATGCAGATGAGTGATATATTTCTGTTGCTAAGGATTATTTGTAATCACAACAAAACTCTGCTTCTGTGCTGGTGGTGTTTGGTTTTAAAATTATCCTTCCATTACAGCTTTGACATTTGCCTTGAAAAGACTTGTAAATTTTGTGGACTTGCGGTGGCCACATTCCTTTTCTCTTTTTTCCCTTCTTCTCTTCCAAATCCAAGTAGACTTCTTGCAACTTTAGTTTCTGTCCTGTCAGCAGCAACATCTGCTTTGTGCTCTGCTGACTCTGCAGAAGTCTTTGAGAAGTTCTACTTCAGTAATTGTCTCTACTATTCCCAGTCATGGAAGTGCTCCTACTGTGGAGCTGGTGTAGTGTATATGTCATTTTATTTTTATCTTCATTGAAATGCAGCCAGGAGCAGGCATGAATTCACTAAAATGTCTTGGAAATGGAAATGTCTTTCTGTAACTGGTTTAATGCGCCTTTCTTATTGGGAATTGGAGGCGCCCATCTTGCTTTGATGAGCTTTTTAAGCATCCAATTCATTATTGCTGATGCTGTGAATTTCTTTTGTACAACATCTATTTCAATGTACAGACTGATAAACAGCATCCTGCTTAACAGCAGGATAGAGATTTCTTTTTAGCATCGTGGTTGAATTTTCTTCAGGATTCATTAACTGTTGAAGAGCACATGCCGGCTAGTATAGAGAAGGATATGATGACCTTCTCTAACCATTCAAGTATTGTAGGTAAGTTCTGTCTGTCAAAAAACCACAACCCCCTAAAATCCCGAACACTGCAAACGTGCTGAGGGTGCACTCAATCCCACTGCCCATGTCACCAACAAAGATGCTGAACAGTGCCAGTCCTGCTATGATACAGCTGTAATAAGTTGCACTGAGCAACCCTAGAGTCACGTCATGGAAGATGGGCCTTGAAAATGCTGTGGGAATGTTAAAGGTCATCCGCATACAAAGGAAATGTGCTGCAATAAGATGCTCTTTCAGCTGCCTGCTTTCTTGTGTCTTCCAGAGGTGTTTTATGAGCTCTTGGACTAAGCATTCATACTTTGTTGAGCAGAAATTGATAGTTCCTGTGGTTACATTTGGAGTGACACTGAAAATTTAAAAACAAAACTAAACCATCTCAAACAGACCAACCATAAACAGTTATTGGTTAATAGTCCATGTCTGACAGGCTTTCAGACTACAGGGATAAATGCACCATGCAAAGGCATTTATTCATAGTGTTGTTAAACTTGGTGCAAATGTGGACGAAAAGTGCTTTGGAGAGTGAAGATCAAGTCTTGTTGGCTGCAGTTTCTCTGGTTGTTGGAAAGTTGATAAGAAAACTTGACTTAAGTGAAACATTGAACTCTTATAGTAGGGTTGTTTCATCAGATTACAGTAATTCAAGTGCAGTGGCTGTTTAAAATCACATTTGGCATGTGTAATGCAACTGACACAGAGTATACTAGTCATACAGGCTCCTCATTAACAGGTAAAACTCTCAATGTTTTTATAGGGGACATAGACTAATTATGGAGGTGGACATAACCCTGATTAACCTTTCTGCTAGTGGTTAATTTGGTTCAGAGTACATAAATTTTCTGTGACTTCTTTTATATCTTTGTAAGCCTAGCATCCTGCTGAGCACTGTTCCCATGATACAGAGTTTATTTATAAGCAGGAAATTCTCCATTGAATGCAATGTAAATTGCAAGGGCATGTTCCATTATGAAAAACAAGTTATGAAAATATCTGTCAGAAATAATTACAGCCGATCCTGCTGTTGGGCAGAAATATAGACTAGATAGTTTACTGGTGTCTCCTGCAGAAGTATTTTCATAGTTCTGTTACCAGGAATGTCAGAATACTGTGAAAAAGAAAATCACATATAACAAGAAATAGGAAAGGAAATGTTACTAATCCTCTGTTCTTGGCTTTGCACAGTCGTTTGTGACATGGGCTTACTCTTCCATGACTGTGAAGAAAGCAGAGTATGCTTATGAATGCTAAAGATTTGAAGGCTCTTGAATCTACAAATATTTCCTTGTTTTTTCACTGATGTCTAAGGATGTTTTTAAGGTCTTTAAACAGCTACTTGCTCCTTTTAAAGTTTACACCTTAAGTCAGATGTGGCATACAGTACACATATGGTATGAAGTGCATATTTTGACAGGTCATCTTAAGAGTGACTTTTAAGAATGTTAACGGAGAAGCTGTTGGTTGCCATTGCCCTCCCCTCCCACATCCTCTAGATAATAAAACTCTACTATTGCTCAGGACAGCAGAGAGGAAGACGAAATGTATAGTTGGCAGGGCCAAAAAAGGTAGATAGGTAAATAGCTACTGTAATGTCATGGGTATGGTAAAAACTGGAGTGTCAATATTATTCTTAAAGAGTGAACAACGCCATCTTTCTCACCTTTCCTCATCAATATGCAGTTGATAAGATTTTATTGATTGCCTCTTAAATTTATACTTAAATATTTCAGCACTGATGTTTTGGGAGTTTTAATTTACGTTTCCACAGGTTTATTTCTCCAACTAAGGAATCTTCTTTTTACTATAGGCCTTCAGTTTTCTGCAGAAAGAATATCCAGGATGTGGATTTATTATTATTGTACAATGGCACGTTTCTCTGTACAATGGACTATTCTCTGTTCCCAAAGGTCCACAACTACAGAAATGTCCTCTACGTGGATTTGAACAAGATATTGCAGTCACTGAATATCACAATGCACAGTAGCAACCTCCAGGCTTCTTTATCTAACAGAGTATGCTAGTGGGTGAAAGTACTGACTTCAGAAAGGCTGCAGAGGGTTTGAAAGAAAACAGCTGTTTTAATGGGAGAAAATGGACCACTCAGTGTTCCTTGCTCACGTTATCAGTGCTGCTTTGAACTGAAGCATAGTAAAAGAGGCAACTGTCCAAAATCAGACCCACGCTTCCTTAACCCTGCATGTCTTAACTCCCTTGACAGCTGTCTTCCGCTGGGACGAGGTGAAACTTCGCCAGGCTGCATTTGTTGAGCATTGGTCCCCAGATTTGCAGCTCTTCCTGGGAAGACCTCAGAACAGAACAATTACAAGTCACCTGGACAAAATGTAACTTCACTGTCAATATCCTATCCCTGGTAAGTCATTTGGGGCCTTCTTGTTACTGATAAAAATAAGCTTAACACAAAGGAAAATCCCTGCAAAAGAAGTTAACTACGATAAAAATGTTATGTGTTTCTGAAATGTTCATATTGTGCTGTGACGAGTATACTATAAAAATGCGGGAAAAGTAAAAGGAAGAGAACTAATACAGGAGAAGAGATATTTTCCAAAGGTGTTCTGTAGTTTGCTGTTTGTAGCTATTGTTTGTAGTCTGCCCTTGTGAGGAGAACTGATTGTGACCAAAGACCTCATTTATGAAAAATGCATGAATGTTATGACAGAGCTGGTTTTTTTATTTGACCAGTCAATGGACCTTTGGAAACCATTGAATGAATATGGCATTTTGCATGATGGCTCAAATCCTGGACAGCGTGTGGGTGAGGTAGGCTGCATTCTGTAGACCTGACCTATTTAGCTATGCATGGTACTGTGAAGTTTCACCTCTAAGTCTAATTCCAGTATTACTTCCCTTCCATGAGTGTGACTGTGCAACTGTGGAGCCTATGCAAAGCCTTACACACGTTCGCCTCTGTGGTCTAGAGGATATTTCACATGCTGGTATTTTCTTTAAGCCCATACTTAATTTTTTGCAAAAAATCAAGGTCTCAATACACTTGTAATATTCTTCTCTGTGTAGAACAGATGTCTAATATTATAATATCAATAGAATATAATGATAGTGTAAATGATAATATGAAAGATGAGTTAGTAGTGCCAAGTATAATGTGACTGATTAAGTGCTCATAAAATCATAGAATAGTTAGGGTTGGAAAGGACCTTAAGATCACCAAGTTCCAACCCCCCTGCCATGGGCAGGGACACCTCACTCTAAACCATATCACCCAAGGCCTCATCCAACCTAGCCTTGAACCCTGCCAGGGATGGAGCATTCACAACCTCCCTGGGCAACCTATTCCAGTGCCTCACCACCCTCACAGAAAAGAACTTCCTCCATATATCCAATCTAAACTTCCCCTGTTTAAGTTTTAACCCATTACCCCTTGTCGTATCACTACAGTCCCTAATGAAGAGTCCATCGCCAGCATCCCTATATACCCCCTTCAGATACTGGAAGGCTGCTATCAGGTCTCCATGCAGCCTTCTCCAGGCTGAACAGCCCCAACTTTTTCATCCTATCTTCATATGGGAGGTGCTCCAGTCCCCTGATCATCCTCATGGCCCTCCTCTGAACTTGTTCCAACAGTTCCATGTCCTTTTGATATTGAGGACACCAGAACTGTACACAATACTCCAAGTGAGGTCTCACGAGAGCAGAGTAGAGGAGCAGGATCACCTCCTTCGACCTGCTGGTCACACTCCTTTTGATGCAGCCCAGGATACGGTTGGCTTTCTGGGCTGCAAGCGCACACTGAAGCTGGCTCATGTTCATTTTCTCATCGACCAGCACCCCCAAGTCCTTCTCCGCAGGGCTGCTCTGAATCTCTTCTCTGCCCAGCCTGTAGCTGTGCCTGGGATTGCTCCGACCCAGGTGTAGGACCTTGCACTTGGCATGGTTAAACTTCATCAGGTTGGCATCAGCCCACCTCACAAGCGTGTCAAGGTCCCTCTGGATGGCATTCCTTCCCTCCAGCGTATCAACCGAACCGCACAACTTGGTGTCATCGGCAAACTTGCTGAGGGCACACTCAATCCCACTGTCCATGTCAGCGACGAAGTTGTTGAACAAGACCGGTCCCAACACCAATCCCTGAGGGACACCACTCGTTACTGGTCTCCAGCTGGACATGGATACATTGACCACAACTCTTTGTGTGTGGCCATTCAGCCAGTTCTTTATCCACCGCGTGGTCCATTCATCAAATTGATGTCTTTCCAATTTACAGACAAGGATGTCATGTGGGACAGTGTCAAACGCTTTACACAAATCCAGGTAGATGACATCAACTGCTTTACCGCTGTCCATCAGTTCTGTAGCCCCATCATAGAAGGCCACCAAATTGGTCATGCACGATTTCCCCTTAGTGAAGCCATGCTGGCTGTCACCAAGCACCTCGTTGTTTTTCACGTGCCTTAGCATGCCTTCCAGGTGAATCTGCTCCAAGATTTTGCCAGGCACAGAGGTGAGACTGACTGGTCTGTAATTCTCCGGGTCATCCATTTTCCCCTTCTTGAAAATGGGGGTTATATTTCCCTTTTTCTAGTTGTTGGGAACTTCACCTGACTGCCATGATTTTGCAAATATGATGGCCAGCATTTTAGCAACTTCATTAGCCAGGTCCTTCAGGACCCGTGGATGGATTTCATCAGGACCCATGGACTTGTGCACGTTCAGATTTGTAAGATGGTCTCGAACCAGATCCTCTCCTACAGTGGGCCCAAGGTCTTCATTCTCTCAATCCCTGCGTCTGCCTTCCAAGACATGGGTGGTGCAGTCAGAGCCTTTGCCAGTGAAGACTGAGGTAAAGAAGTCACTCAGAACCTCAGCCTTCTCCAAATACTGTGTAGCTAGTTCAACTGAAAGCTTCCTGAGGGGGCCTACATTCTCCCTAATCTGTTTTTTATTTGCTATGTACCTGTAGAATCCCTTCCTGTTATCCTTAATATCTCTAGCCAAGTTTAATTCTAACTGGGCCTTAGCCTTCCTAACCTGGTCCCTAGCTTCCTGGACAACATCCCTGTATTCTTCCCAGGCTGCCTGTCCTTGCTTCCACTTTCTATAAAACTCTTTTTTTCATTTGAATTTTCCTCAGCAGCTCCTTATCCATCCGAGGAGGTCTCCTGGCCCTCCTGCTGTGCTTCCTTCTAGTTGGGATGCAACACTCCTGAGCTTGTAGCAGGTGATCCTTGAAGACCAACCAAGAGTCTTGAGCCCCCTGCCCTCTAGGGCTATATCCCATGGAACCTTATTAAGCAGGTTCCTGAAGAGGCCAAAGTCTGCTCTTTTGTAGTCTAGGGCAATGAGCTTGCTGCACGCTCTTCTCACTGTCCTAAGGATCTCAAATTCAACCATTTCGTGGTCACTACATCCAAGGCTGCCCTGCAGTGCCACATTTCCAACGAGCCCTTCCCTGTTGGTGAGCACAAGGTCAAGCATGGCACCTCTCCTTGTCAGTTCCTCTATTACTTGCAGAAGGAAGTTGTCTTCCACACAATCAAGGGACCTCCTGGATTGCTTGTGCCGGGCCATACCGTCGTTCCAACAGATGTCAGGGTGGTTGAAGTCACCCATGAGAACAAAGGCCTGTGAGCATAAGGCTTTTCCTATCTGCCTATAGAGTGCTTCATCCGCAGATTCCTCTTGATCAGGTAGTCTATAACATATCCCCACAGTAATGTCTCCCATCACTCTTTTCCCTTTAACCCTGACCCACAAGCTCTCTGTTAACTTCTCACGAGTCCCCAGACAGAGTTCCATACTCTCCAGCATATCCCTAACATAAAGGGCAACTCCCCCTTCCTGCCTGCCAGGCCTGTCTTTTCTAAAGAGTCTGTAACCTTCCATTCCAACACTCCAGTCATAGGAGCCATCCCACCATGTTTCTGTGATGCCTATAATATCATAGTCCCGTAGAAGAGCACACATCTCTAATTCCTCTTGTTTGTTCCCCATGCTACAGGCATTTGTATAGAGGCATCTGAGCTGAGCTCCAAATGAAGCCGGCTCATTGGCTGGAGCAGCCGGAATATCTCTGCATTGATCCAAGCATTTATTATAGGTGCTGGCAACTGACTGGGAGTGTTGGGATGGAATGATGTCCCCCTCCCCCAACACATCTAGTTTAAAGCCTCCTTAACCAGTCTGGCAAGCCTCCTACCAGAACTGCTGGACCAGCTCCACCAGCCCCCGCTAGACCTGGCCTACAAACTTGGGTCCCATGTTCAAGACACCCAAACCCCTGACTGTGACACCACCCTTTTAACCACTTATTAACCTGGCTAATCCTCCTAGCTTTTTTTAGGTCCTCCCCTGTATCCTGGAGAATAGATGAGAAGACAATGTGAGCTCCAGAGCCCTTAACCACCTCTTCCAGGGCTCTGCAGTCCTTCTTTATGTTCCCCAGGCTACTACTATCTATATCCCTAGCACCCACATATATCACCAGAAGTGGGTAATAGTCCATGGGGCTTACCAGACATTAGTCTGATAATGAGAACTATGATTAATCATGATAATGTGCTAAGGCACTAACAAGGACTAAAGATAGTTCTGAGTGGCATTCTGTGTTAAATTTATTTGCTAAGCATTGCTGAGAACAGCTGCAGAAAATTTATCTTATTTTTTCTTTGTGAATAGTTTCTTGTTTTAACTTGGTTTGGGTTTTGTTGGTTGGTTGGTTTTGGTTGGTTGGTGTTTTTCTTTGATAAACGTAGCTAATTAAGCTCATGATATAATGTGGCCATGTAAACTTAGCTTCCTAGATACTGTTTCCATTGGAGCTGTAACTGTTGGCTTCATGTTAAACAAATGCATGGAAAATAGGAATAAATGAGATGTTTCCATTCTTGGGATCTTACTATGTAATTTTAAGATAGTCTGCCATGCCCTGGAAAAGAGAGTATGAAGACAAAGAGGATCAGGAGAGTCATGGAATGACTGATAAAAGGTGTTTTTACTGACAGAGAGGGTGTTTGTGTGTGCATGTGTGTTAGTTTTATAGCCATGCTTACAAGTACTTTAATGGCTCATTGTACTTCAGAAATTTCATGTTCCTTTTCCCACCATCTTTAACAGGTATCTGCCAGGCCTAACTTTAAAACTCACTGCCACTCAAAAGAGTATGGAGTCTGTTATTATTCATGGATCCACTTGACTTCGCACTAAAACCCAGAAACATGTCCTACAAAAAGAGAGTAAAAAACCCCAAAAAACTAGATTATAAAAATACTAGATGTTACAGAGAAATGTATCAGTTTATTCAGCTGCTCCTTTCTCCACTCCAAAATGTTTGGATTCTAAACTTAAATACAAAAAGAGAAAGTGCTTGACTGTGCAAGCAAAACTGGATTTTGTTAC